AATATGAATAGCATTCATGTTGAAAACATATGGCAGTTGACCTCAATTTTTATATAAACCCATTAGATCAGCGGTTCTCAACCTGTGGGTTGCGACCCCTTTGGGAAACACATATATAATTATATATTGTTTTTGTGATTAATCACTATGCTTTAATTATGTTCAATTTGTAACAATGAAATTGGGGGTCACCACAACATGAGGAACTGTATTAAAGGGTCGCGGCATTAGGAAAGTTGAGAACCACTACATTAGATAGATCTCACTTACAATCTCTGTGTGTGTGTTGTATGTGTGTGTGTGTGAGTTGAATTACAGTATATGTAAATGATTATATTCAATATAAATGTTGGGCTATCTTTCAGATATCATTTGATCAGTGTATCTTTTTATTGAATGATTGGACATATAGCAAAATTATATCAGATCTCATTTACAATCTCTGTGTGGGTGTTGTATGTGTATGTGTGTGTGTGAGTTGAATTACAGTATATGTAAAAGATTATATTCAATATAAATGTTGGGCTTTCTCTCAGATATCATTTGATCAGCGTATATTTTTATTGAATGATTGGACATATAGCAAAATTATATCAATGTATCCTGAAGAAATGTCCCTTTGAAGTGTCTATTTAACACTATTACAGATGTCCCCATCCCCCCCTTAAAATATTTCATTATGTAATTATTCTTTATTGCTTATTTCTCTCAACACAATGTAAGCTCCAGACAGCATAGTGCATATCCTTTTTTTAAACCTCAGTTTATCTACCAAAAGTGCTAAATACATATTTGCTAATAAATTTACAAACCACCTCAGTATGATAATATGAATTACAAGAATAATACATATATATTAAGTAGTTAACTTATAACAGAGCTATAATCTGAATGTTTGTCTTCCTCCCCCCCCAAATCCATAGGTTGAAATCCTAACCCCTAAAGATGATGGTATTAGAGGTGGGGGCCTTGGATTTGAGGGTGGAGCCTTCATAAATGAGATTAACACTCTTTGAAAAGAGACCTCTCAGAGCTTCCCAGCCCCTTCCAACATGTGAGGACATATCATGGAGGTTCCAACTATGAACCAAGAAGAGGTCCTTCAACAGAACCTGACCATACTGGCACACTGATCTTGGAATTCCCAGCCTGCAGGATGGTGAAAAGTAAGTTTCTGTTCTTTATAAGCTACCCAGTCTATGGCATTTTGTTATAACAATCTGAACATACTAAGAGAGGGAGACATTGTGTTAAATGTTTAATTTATATGTGTGACTGATGAACTGTACAAGAAAATGCATGGGATATAATAAAAATGTTACTTTAATTTCTGTCTCCAACTGCTCTTTAAGTTTTATTCCATGGTAATACTCTTCCCATGACCCTGAAACTCAAAGATAGCATCTACTCTTTTCCTAAGAAATCTCTTCCCAAATCTTTCTTCCCCTTCTCACCACATTGGAGCCTACAAGATATAAAAACATTATTAATGTTTTCTTTGTATACTAATGTATTGGTGATTATCTCAGACTCATTGTGGTATTAGATGTCTATGGTATAGGAGCCACAGGCAAAATCAATACAGGAAGAATACTATTGCATCCTATTTTATATGCATCATCTAATTTAAACCACTCACAATTTTATCAGATTTATGGAGGTTAAGTAACTTATGCAGAGTCAAGGGTGCTAGATATTATTATAATGGTGGAATTTCGTAATAAAGTCATTAATAGATATTACATATTGATAAAAATACATTCCTTTTAGCTAATGTTTCATTTTGTAAATGTTGGTTTGGAATTGGTTAAAATGCTAGAATAGGACATCTACTTTGGAGAAAACTCAATACATTAATTAAGAATATTAATTATAAGTTGAGAAAAGGAGGCATCTCTATCAGATAATGGTACATGTGATGCCCCTGCGTTCTCCAATGAAGATATTTAAGCCCAACTTCAGAGGTGTATATATCCTGAGTGGTCATCCAAGTTCCCAGAATGATTATTCCCAAGGAGGAGAGTGTAGAGGTAGTAAGTTCCTCACATTATACCAGCTCCATCCCTCCAATTACCCATGCCACCAGTCATGTTTTCTCCCATAATATGTTGTTATTGGAAATAATATTGAGATTCAACACTGTCTGATTCCATAGTCGTTGTGATTCATTACACATGTTTGGTAAGAGCTAGTATAGAGTCCTTTCTTTAAGAAATGGGAAAGTATTACACACACACATATATATATATACAGTCCTTTCTTTAAGAAATGGGAAAGTATTACATATATATATATATATATCCTCACCAACTGAGACAGCCATTACTTAACACTTACTTTATCACTTCAGGGGGGAAAATATATGTTTACAAGAATATTAAGGCACAAAAGGCAGCAAGGGTCTACTCGCATCTGACTTTTCAAAAGCCCACAGACAATATGCTTAAACATAGGCATAATGACTTACCATTCAAATGACTTACCATTCAGAAGGATGACTTTTTTTAATCAATGTAGCATATTAATGCCTTTAATACTAAATCCCAGCATTGTTTACTTAACACTATCTTGTGAACCAGCCATAATAATCTCCAGCACCCTGTGAACCTGCACAAGTTACCTAACCTCTATTTTATACATATTTAATTATATCTATGTATGTGTTTATACATACATATGCACACGCTATATATGTATATATACAGTATATATTGAGTATCCCCAAAAATGTATACACATACTTTGAATAATTATAAAGGTAGTGTTTAGTAAAATACAATCCATTTTCAAAATTGAGCTATCAGCTGTTAAAGTGCATATATATATATATATATATATATATATTTATAGAAAGAGAGAGAGAGAGAACACTTCCATGTAGTTTAGAGATAGAGAAGTTGAGGAAGAAAAATGATACTTTTATCAAATTATAATATTTAGTACATAATATAGCAATTATAAAGCAAGTCAAAAACTATGTAAATAGTCATCCCAAAATATAAATTAAATAAGACACATACAAGGACCCCCAACACTACAATGAGAATGATGACCCCCACCATTAAATTCAGGACTGTGGCCAGTTTAAATGGGAGTGAATATTCAAAACAAGCATACATTTTTAATGATCAATTGACGTATTTTCTAAACCAGTGTTATCTAAGTAGGAGTGAGGGTGGGAAGAGTTTAACAAAATAACTTATATGCATATTTGCATAACCCAAAGGCACAGACAACAGTGCCATGAAGATGGAGATGGGGTGGGAGCTGAGGAGTGGAGGGGGTTAATAGCGGTGAAAAAGAGGGACATCTGTAATACTTTCAACATTAAATATTTTAAAAATAAAGAAACTTTCTCTGATGACCATTCTTGAACACTTGCAATGTGGCTAGTGCAAGTGGGTAAGTTAATTATTTTTATGTCTATTTAATTTTAATTAAAATAGCTACATGCAGTTATGGTATTGTAGAGTGAAGGTTTAGCCAGTGGCTCTCAACCTTCCTAATGCCGCGACCCTTTAATACAGTTCCTCATGTTGTGGTGACCCCCAATTTCATTGTTACAAATTGAACATAATTAATGCCTAGTGATTAATCACAAAAACAATATGTAATTATATATGTGTTTTCTGATGGACTTAGGGCGACCCCCAAAGGGTCGCGACCCACATGTTGAGAACTGCTGGTTTAGACAGAAAAAAGGCAGCCTATCACTCAATGTTCCAAAATCTTCCGAAATGTAATAGGTAAAACGAACTTCATATTCCAAAGTTACTGTAAATCCGAAGCACAATATATAACATTTCCATGATACAATCTTTGTGAAGAAATTTCTTTTGAAACTTGAAAAATACTACCCCACTGAAGTCTTTCTTTTTAAAGGTACACTTCCACTTATCAGGCATAGTTTTGGTTTTCTAGAAAAGAATCAATTTTTCCCAAATAAATCCAACCCAATATAATAACCTAAAAACATAAGACATTATGGAAAGTCACAGAATGACAGGCACCAAAATCATTAAGAGCTCTTATAACCCAAACTTGGAGCTTCTGGTTGTTTTAAAATCCCATCAAAAACAAACAACAGCAAAAAAACTAAAGCCTTCTATTCACTGAGATAGAAACTGTGAGCTTCCCAAGCCATACCTTTTCCCCTTCCACTTTGAGATATTTTTCTCCACTTCCACTGAGATATAATTGACCTCTAGCTCTGTACAAGTTTAAGGCATACCGCATAAGGGGCTGACATACCTATACTGAGAAATGGTTATTACCGTAAGTTAGTTAACATCCATCTCATCTAATTACAAACAAATGTGTTTCCCTTGTGATCTCAACTTTCAGCAACTTTCCATCATACCATACAGCAGTGATGACTATAGTCATCACAGGGTCCATGAGAAGCCACACTGCTC